GAACATTAACTGCCACTTTTCACTCCAATTACATAGACTATTTAGGTCTTCTTGGATTTTACTAACAATATTCATATCATTATAGTCGAAATCATAGACAACTTTGAGGTCGTCTGCAAAGAGGTATGGCTTGCTATACTTGATCATAGAAACAATATCATTTATGAATACAATGAATAGGGTAGGGCCAAGAACACTACCTTGTATCACGCCGCTGGTTATCGGTTTGGATGTTGATAAGTGATGGTGGACTTTAACTAACTGTTCTCTTCCTGTAAGAAAAGAAGTTATCCACTCAAGTAGCCTTCCACTTATTCCATAAGATAGGAGTTTTAATATGAGTCTCTTATGTGGGATCTTGTCAAAAGCTTTCCTAACGTCTAGAAATAATGTTGCTGCTGAACGACCTTTGTCTACACACTCAGTAATGTGGTCGAAATAATCTAATTGGCAAGTAATGCACGATCTTCTATTTAGGAAACCGTATTGGAAGGCGGATATTAAGTCATTCGAGATCTGAACGTTTTCCACTAGTAGCTGGTCACTAGTGAGCACATAATCCAGTCTAGAAGACTTCCCATCTGGGCCCCACCTAGTATCCATTCTGACATTTTCAGTGAATCCAGCCTCCCTGATGGTATGCAGCAAATTTCGATCAAATCTATCCTGGGCATATCCCGTCATCAAGGTAAGAGATGGGGCATTGAAGACTCCAGCTATGGCAATTTGATCATAACCCATGTCTTGTGTCGCTGAAATTGTATTCAGCAGTACCTGGTTGTGGTCTGCTCCACATGAAGGTGATCTATAAATGCTGTCCACTAGATATTTACACTACCCAACGGTGAAATGGCACCATATGGAGTCAAGGGGCTCAATGAGGGGAGGGTCCATTGCATGGACACATCTGAGCTGTTTGTCGACGTATATGGAGACTCCACCTCCTTCTTTCAGGTCCCTATCTCGCCTGACCAAGACCATATCATTTATACTGACTTCGCTGTCTGCCACCGTAGGGGTTAGCCAGGTTTCCGTCAGTATTATGATTTTGGAGTTCAGCTGTGATTGTAGGTATCTAAGTTCAGCTATTTTGCCTCTTAGCCCTCTCACATTACTGTACAGGCAACTGGTAGTCAGTCTCACCACGTCCCCGTATTGGGGGGTGGTTGACGTGATGTGGACTATCGGTTGAGGAGTTACCCTACGAACTAGTTGGCCGATTCCCCGGGAACCGGCCTGTTGGCGTTTTTTTCTTCTGATTCAATCGGAGCACTTGGATGACACTGGCTATCATCGTCCATGCTGCACCGCTGTATTGTGACTAAGGGTTGAGGATTTGTTCGGATTTAGTTAATTACATCTCATGTACCATTAGATTACTCTACGATTTTCACATATCACGCAGAGTCGCCGTGATCTCGGCAAGTATGCATATGCTTTAAATGCATTACTTTGTTGGCTCCTTAATTCACTGAGTGTATACAATGGGTACTGTGGATTTATGTATTTCCTCGCCACTGTGGATAAAACTTGATCGCATTCTTTTTGTAAAGGAGACCATTTGGTGGATTATAAATGATGACCAAGTATCTTATATCCTTCCATGTGATGTTGTGGCAAATTTCAACCTTGTTTTCGCATATTTCATTCGAATGTCGGTTATGGTTCACCATTTGTATCAGGAAGACATAATTCGATCGACTCTTATTTGTATGGGTGTTATTGTCATGACTGCTGTTGTCAACGAACGTGAACATTGAACGTTTGTTTGTTGGAACTGGCAGCCACTGGTGGGCAACTCGAAGGCGCGAATGGTTCGATTGTGTGCAAGTTGGAAGAAGGTGGAAAGGAACACGAATAAAAGTACTTTATAACTTCATTTGTACTAAACATTTGTTTGTAGACTCTGTATTTTGTCTTGCTTTAATTGCCAAACAATAAAAATTCGTTCAAGGAATACTGGTGTTTTGGATTTAAAGTTGAAACAAATACTTAGCCATTATCGGTTCAAATGTTCTTCGTTACGATAGGAACTTAGGGCTAAGTTCCTTGACAACTGCTTTTTTGTGTGAAATTATAGATAGAGGTAAAACAATCAGTAGGTGTAATCTCTAAGTTCATACATTATATGGGCCTATGATTTCTGCAGCTCTTACATGAGAATTAGCACTGGTATCACTTGCAAACTCACTTAGTGTGTCACTAAGTGCCTTTTCAAATAAGGCCAGTGTGTTTGCTAGTCGCATTTCCTTAGGTAGTTTGTTCCATATTAGGGTATACCTAATCAAGAAAAACTTTTGACTGGTGGCTGTTTTACATTGTTCTATAGCCACTGTACCTGTAGTGTGTCTAAGTTTATATCTAGTGTCTTCTGGAAACCGAGTACAATTAGCAGGGGCATACACTATGTGGTTAAGTAGGTTATCGAAGTGTACTAGATTTAGTCGCAATTGCCTTAACCTTGGTGTTCCTAGTCCTAGGTTTCCATATCTGGTAGAGTAGTTTGTACCGTTTTCGGTTCCGAGTACTCTTAGCGTGAAGTACCTCTGTACTCCTCCTACTTTTAGTTTGTCTTCTATGAGTATACTGCTAAATATGAATGAGCATTAATTTAGGAGTGGGCGCGCACAAACCTTGTACAGTAGTATTCTGGATTCGCTTCTGTAGAAGTTCCTGTGTATGGTGCCAATAAACCTGGGTGATTTCGATACTTGTTTCGAGATATGCTCAGAAAATGTTAGATTGTGTGAATATTTCAGTCCTAGGTCTAGCACAGATTTGAGTCTAGGGATTTTGTGGCCCTGAATTGCTAGGTCGAGTTCTAGGTTGGAACAGCCTATGCAGAGCCACACTTTTCGACATTAAACTCGAGTCTCTAGGTGTCACACCATCTATCCATCTTTTATTAATTCTTCATGTATAGAGTTCGTAGTCGTACCGATATCTGTATTTGTGCATGTATAGGTTACCTTTAAGTCATCTGCATACAGTATTGGTTTGCCTATACTAAAGCATTCACATATGCTGTTTATGTATATTATGAAAATGAGGGGGCCCAATACACTCCCCTGGATGACACCACTGCTGATTGGTCTAGGCCTAGAGGTCATCGAGCCAACTTTTGTTGTCTGATTCCTGTCACAGAGAAATGATTTATCCAGTTGTGGAGGGGGTTGCGTATCCCTAGTGAGCATAACCTGCCGACTAGCAGACTATGTGGGACTCTGTCGAAATAGAGGATAATTACTAGTTCTCTCCTATCTCTTCTATAGGTGACTTCGTTGAAAATGTCTATATGACAAGTGACGCAAGATCTTTTTTTGAGGAATCCGTGTTGTGACTGGTTGATGAGTTTATGTTTTAGGAAGTAGTCTAACATTTGGTCTTTGATTAATTTTTCCATGATTCGTGATATGACAGGTGTTATATTGATAGGCCTATAGTTGAATGCACTAGTTTTGGCCCCTCTCTTATACTTAGGCAATATATACATGTTTTTCCAAGTTTCAGGGTAGGTCCCAGTCACTAGTGAGAGGGTAAATATTCTAAGTAATAAAACTATCATATCCGTGCCACCGTTTTTGTATATGGCAGATGGTATACCATCTATCCCAAAACTACCGTTAGATTTTAATGTCTTTACCGCTGATGCTATATTTTGTATATTAAAGTTGATTTCACCTAACTTGTAGTTGTTTTTGCAGGTTAAGTCGAGAATTGGGGACGCATACGCTTTGGTGTCATTGGAGAACCGCTGGCTGAGAAGTTCGCCAACAATCTGGGGATCATCATAAATTATACCTTCATGTTCCAAGTGACTAACGTTGTTGTTTTCACCCGTCTTTAGTTGTTTTTTCAAGACCTTGC